GAGAAATCTCGCGATATCTTCCACAACGTTGTCGACGTTCGAAGTGAAAAGAGAAAAGAGAAGCCGCCATATTGCTCCTCGCTTCTCTTCTGGCTCGCAGCTGTGGTGAACGCGCAAAAACGAGCATCTCTTTCTCTATCTATCTTTCTCTCTCTCTCTCTCTCTCTCTCTCTCTCTCTCTCTCTCTCTCTCTCTCTTTCATTCTCTATATCGTTCCTCTTTCTCTCTGATATCCATAATACCCTTCTTCTCATTCGTATATTTCTCCTCTATACGAATATTTCGATTTGGATAGAACGACGAAAGCTTTAAACGCTTATCAAAGTCGTCTATTCTATATCGCATTTGCCTTCTTCTATGTTATTGCATCACAGAGATGTTTTTAAAGTAAAACGTGATGAAAACGTATAAATTATTTACGTTGATCCATGAGAATCGTATATACATATGTATATATATATATATATACATATATATATATTTATATATATGTATGTACATACATACACATATAGGTATAACTCGTCTTCTTTTCTATAGTATATTAAGATAAATTATTCATTGGGAAGTATTAGATATATATATATATATATGTGTGTGTGTGCGTGTGTGTGTGTGTATATATATAATAGTTGTATGTAACTAGTGTGAGAACAAATTCTAAGACAAGAAACAGAGATCAAGTGGGTGGTGAAAGATACGAGAAAAGATGCGATAACTCTTCTGAACGAACGAATGAGAATAATACCTCGAGTGATCTAGTAGAGATCTATGCCTTTGCGTTCATCAGAACTCTTCGTTTAATAAATTTCAAAGGAAACTGTCATCGTCCGTAAAGATAATTGGACGCATTTAACGTGGAAGAGAAAAAAATTGAAAAGGGGAAAAAAAAAAAAAAGAAAAAGAAAAAAAAAAGAGAAAAAGAAAAAGAAAGGAAGAAAAAATTAAATAGAAGAAATAGAGGATTACGGAACATATCGAATTTTTCATCTTTCAATTGACTTTCGACGAATTAATTCAAATCGTAACGAAACATCGCACACTCGTAATACATATTTATTCTTAGAGTCGTAATAATCGGCACATGTAAAAAAATATACTACTTAATAGATAGATTCATCAAACGATCAAAATGATCGACTGGATTTACGTTTTAATCATGTTAATATTCGTTCGAATAAATCTCATTCGAGGTATTCATTTTTTTTTATGAATTTTGCTCTTTCACACACACATATATATATATATATATATATATATATATATATATAAACTTTCTTTTTTCCATAACGAGCATCACGATCGATTTGATAAATTTCTTCTTTCCCTTTTTTTATTAATATTTCTCTAAAGTTTATAATATACGATATACCTCAATAGATATATTCGAAAATAATATTGTCGATAAGATAGTCTTTTAGCGTCGAACATTTTATCTTACGATTCTTTATCCTTTTTTATAAAATAACAATAATAATTCGATACAAATTGAAGATAAATCAGAACACTTGATTTTTCATCATCATCATCTTCTTCTTCTTCTTCTTCTTCTCTTTGGATCTCGCGTAAAAAAAAAGTAAAGAAAAAAAAGGGGAAGGGCAAGACTTGGGTGAAAGTTCGTACGAAAAAGAAACAGAAAAAGAAAAAAAAAGGAAAAAAGAAAAAAAGGAAAAGCGATATAATCGAGGAAATTTGAAAAAGCGTGGGAACGAAACTGGCGCCGTCTAACCGCGTACGGATTGGAACGATATATATGTGGCGCGAAATTTAATTTAATCATTTTCCCAAGAGAGAGAGAGAGAGAGAGAGAGAGAGCACGCGTACGTTTACATATCTATAAAAATATACGTGATAGTTTCTTATTATTTTTTTTTCTTTTTCTTTTTTCTTCTTTTCTCAATATATCACTAAAAGCGATACTTCGAAAGAGTAAAATTGTTGCGAACGTTGGGATCGTAGTGAATGGGATTCGATTATTAAGCTTAGAATATAGAGAGAAAAAGAGAGAGAGTGAGAGAGAGAGAGAAAGAGAGAGAGAGAAAGGGAACTCAGCTTTACCTGTCGCGAGACCCAACAACGAAAGCGAATAAGGTAACAGTGCGAGTTCGTAATGGAGTTTGCAAGTTCGAATATTGCTTCAACATTCAATGACAAAATGAAAGACCTTTCCGATGCAGAAATCGGGAACAAAAGCACGGCCGAGCTTCGCGCATTTTAGTAGTGGGAGAATGGGGGAGTGAGTAAGGAATTAGGAGGTAGGTGAGAAAGACGGAAGGAGAACGAAAACGAGAACGAAGGAGACAGAGAGAAAGAGAGAGAGAGAGAGAGAGAGAGAGAGAGAGAGAGAGAGAATGAGATAGAGAAAACGAAAGGGAAAACTCGTTTAAACTCTTTCAATACGCCGAGCGTAAAATTTGTACGCCGGCAAAGCTCGAAGAAATTACCACCCGCGTGGAATATAAATCTGGGTTATTTCCTTCGAGGAGTCGCCTGCCCTTTTATCGAAGCGCGAAAGAGATAGAGAGATAGGAGAGAGAGAGAGAGAGAGAGAGAGAGAAGGAAGAACGGTGGAAAAGGGTGGATGGAAGGGAGGAAGAATCTGAAAAAGCGTTAATCGCACGTATTCAAGCAAAATTCGAACTATTACGAAAATGTTCGAGTTTGACTTGACGAAACCACCGACTGATAACTACGAACTGAGACTAATTACGAATTTTCTCTCGATCGTTAATGAATATATGTGTGTGTATATATATATTTATATGTGTTTGTGTGAAAATGTATGTACGTATGTATGCATATATATATATATATATATATATATATATATACTCAAATATGTATATAGAAAATATTGATTAAAATGAAATAATATTTTCCTACTACGGATATACGTTGATCGTACAAACTTCCTCGTCGAACATCACATCTCTCTCTATATATCTCTTTCTCTTTCTTTCTCTCTCTCTCTCTCTCTCTCTCTCTCTCTCTCTCTCTCACATTCCCTCTCTCTCATTTTCTCTCTCTTTCTCTTTTTCTTCCGTTTTTTCAACGAATAGCAATAACGATTTGTTTATACGGATTAAAACTCGTATATATCGTAAATATGGACGTGTAAAGGACCTTTCTACGGAACGAGAAAATCCGATCGCTTTTAACGTTTCCTTTTTTTCTGCTTTTTGTTTCGTTTTATTTATTTATTTTATTTTATTTTATTTTATTTTATTTTATTTTATTTTATTTTATTTTATTTTATTTCATTTCATTTTATTTTTCTATTTTCTTTTCTCTAAACCTCATACTTCGTTCGAAGGATCAATTTTTGTCGCAAATGGAGAAGGAGGCAGAGTATTGAAACGAAAAAGAAAAACAAAAAAAAAAGAGGGAGAGAGAGAGAGAGAGAGAGAGAAAAAGGATAGAAAAAAAGGACAAAAAGAAATAGGCGCGAACTCGCGTTGTTCGAAAAACGATTGCGTCCATCATCCGTCCATTTCCTCGGCCCCCTCCCCCACCGGTCCTCCTTCTTCCCTCCTTCCCACCATCCCTATTTCTCTCCCTCTCTTGAACTTAGAAACGACGAGTGTGAGAAAGAAGACGTAGACGATGTTCCAGAATTGTACGAGATAAAATTATCTTTTATCTTTAGTCGTAGCGTAATAAAGAGAGACGACGCGCATGTGTCGCGCCTCATGAAAAAGGGACCGATGTATTGCCCTAAAGGCACGCCGACGATTTGAGCTTCTTCCTTTCTTTTCTCGAATCTTCGTAAAAATATGTCGCCGTAATACTTTATTTATTTCGTTTTTCTTTTCTTTTCTTTTTCATACTTCTCTTTTCTTTTTTTCTCCTTTCCTCTTTGTTGTTGTTTTTGTTGTTGTTATTGTTTTCTTTTTCTTTCTCTCTTTTCTTATTATTACTTTTTTCATTTTTTTCCTTTCTTTCTTTTTTCTCCTTACGCTCGAAAAGTACGACCCTTCGGTCGTCTCTTTTCGTTTACACCAATGAGAATCAGCTGAGAACGAATAAGCGGCGAAAGAGAAAGAGAAAGAGAAAGAGAGAGAGAGAGAGAGAGAAAGAGAGAGAGAAAGAGAGAGATATTTTAACGCTTGCAGTTAATCGCTCGTGATTGGTAGCAATTAAATTCGTGAGATAGACTGGAGACGTCGTTACGGGTTAGTGGATAAGGGAGCATCGGGGGAGGGCAGGGGTATATATTGAGAAACGGTGTGTTGGTGTTCAATAAAAAAAAAAAAAAAAAAAAAAAAAAAAAAAAAGAAGAAAAATGAATGAAAAAAAAGAAAGAAAAAAATAAATAGAAAAGAAAAAAAGAAAAGCAAAAAAGAAGGGAGAAATTAGAAAAGACGAAAGTAAATGAAAAAATAATTAAAAGGAAAGAAATAGAAAACGGGGGCAAAAAAAGGGGAGAGAGAGAGAGAGAGAGATCCATGCTCGATCGAACGTTCGTAAGTTAATATTCCAAATGAGAGAATATCTGCTCGTGGTGCCGGCAAAAGCGATGGCTAATTACCGGCACTAAAAAGCGAATAACAAGAGAGTTATACGATTATCGGAGTAATAAACTGCAAAATACGATGATGTTCCGATAAATGTACGTGTATATAAATATATATATATATATATATATATATATATATATATACACGCTTGAATAAATCTCCACCATGTAAGTGTGTGTGTGTGCGTGCGTGTGTGTGTGTATATATATATATCCGTTGTACACTTTTCATCGAATTATACATACACATATCTATGTGTAACTCTTCATACTGTTTAGTTTTCAATTTCTTTTTTTGGTCTTATTTATTTATTTTTTTTTTATTTATTTCTTTTTATTCTTTTTTTATTTCGTTTACTTCTTCCCTTCCCCCCTCCCCTACCGCTTCATCATATCGATACGAGATTAAAAGTTGGATGACAATCAGACATTAAAATGAAAAAATATTTAGAATATGAAAATAATAATAAATATTTGTTGTTACCTGATAGACAGACGGAGAGGTATAATCCTAGGAAGAGTATAGTCATCATTTTCTAATCGAGAATTATAAATCCCTTCAACGATGGGAATAATATCCGATGAATAATAACGATGAAACGTTCAACCTTCCTTCAACTTCATGTCCCGTTTTTCTCTTTGTTTCTTTCTTTTCCTTCTTCTTCTTCTTCTTCTTCTTCTTCTTCTTCCTTCCTTCCTTCCTTCTTCCTTCCTTCCTTCCTTCGATCGATCCCTTTTAAATCTCTTTACCTTCTTTCTTCTAATATTCTCTCAATTTATAAAATATTATTTCATTAGATGCACGCGCATACAACAAATTATATATATTTATATATACATATATATATATATATATATACATATATATATATATATACACACACACACACATATATATATATATACGTGTGTGTGTGTTTGTGTGTATACCGCGTAATAAATAAATAAACACGATCTTTTTTTTAACAAACCGTTGTTAAGATATCTTCCGAAAGGAACATTTCTTTTTTTTTTTGTTTTGTTCTTTCTTTTCTTTTTTTTTTTTTTTCTTTTTCTTTTTTCCTTGTTATATTATCAATTAATAATAATGAATTTCGATGATCAAAGAAGGGCAAGGGATTTGTTAACAAGCTTACCGGGGCTGTATATGACACACGGGCACACCGCACACAGCGTGCTACGAGACCAGTTCGAAGACTGAGTCCGAGTTCGTATTCCGGAGGCTGACTTCTCTCGGCCCTACCAGGGTACACCGGACTAGTAGTGTGTTGCCCGTCCGTTGCCCGCCTCTGGATAACGTTTCCTTCCACCATTAGGCACACACGCGGTATATACCGCGCGACGACATACATCGTGCCAAGAGACCTCCCGAGGGGGAACCGTTGTACGTTAAATCGAGGATCAAGATCATCTCGCATTTCTTTCTTATCCTCCTCCACTGCTACCACCATTACTACCACAATCACCTCCGCCACAACTCTCCATCACCTTCATCAACATCGCAACCCATCTAACACGATCCCGTTTCTTTCTCTCTTTTTTTTTTTCTTTTTTCTTTTTTTTCTTTTTTTTTTTATTTTTTGAACGACTGATAAAAAGTAAAGGAAATATATTTAAGAAATTAATAATTTCTTATTTTTAAATTAAGCCTTTTAATGTGCCCAATGATATTTAATTATGAATCGAATGATATTACTTATCACGTGATAAAAATAAATAATTTTAATTTCTATATTAATTTCGTTTTCGATAAAAGAATCTTCAAATTGGAAATTTAATGTTCGACGATTTATATAAGAACGATTCGTTAATATATTGAAAAATAATGATAATCGCGAAATGTCAATGAATTTATAATGATATATTAATTTAGTCTTTTACGTTCTATTTTAAAACATGGGATACAAAAATGTCGGCCATTATTAATGTTTATTCGTATATATAAAATATGGCCGAATCGAAAATTATTGGAAATTTAATAATAAATTAATTTTGTCCTCGTTTTATTTTAGAACGATATATGTATAACGTTGGCCATTGATAATATTGTTTCCGTACCAAAATATAACTAAATCGAAAAATATTGACAATTTAGTAATAAATTAATTTCGTCTTCGTTTTATTTTAGAACAATATATAATGTTGGCCATTGGTCATCTTGATTCGTATCAAAATATAGCCAAATCGAAAAATCACGAAAATTTAATAATAAATTAATATCGTCATGTATTTTATAATAAGATATAAATATTGCTCGTTCCAAATAGAAGATTACTGAATATTTGAACAAATTTGTTATTAAGGTGAAAAATAAAATTACAAAATATTGAATCGTCGAAAATAAATATACTTTTAACAATAAAAATTTTATCAATAGAATTAACTTCTACTTGGTCATATTTTATAGCACGATAAAATAATATATCGTTGATCTTTGGAAAAAAAAAAGAATATTATAATTAAAAGAAAAAATTTGAAAAACCTTATTCCGTCCTCGTTACGATATTGCCTTCGTAGAAAAGAAATTCTATTATGTAGATATCGAAATCAGAAAAAAAAAATCACATGAAACACAATAAATTTTGAATTTATTTCGAGATTTAATTATTTTAATATTCACCCAATAAATATATACTATGTTAACAATTTGAAACGCGTTACGAATAATATATGAAATATTCTTTCATAACCTCATTCAATTAATTTGTTCAAATAATAATTTAAACATATTGTAATCTAAAGATTATTCGTTCAATGTCCATAAATTGTACGGATTAATAATTTTATATTTATAATAAATTTATTTACCGATTAAATATATTATACGTATTAATTCAACAGTTTTGTAAATAAATAAGCGTTTTACACGACAAAGTAAAAAAATATTTTCTTGAGTTTACAAACGCGCGCAATTTTAATTCAAACATTTGATAGAGTGCGCGTCGTAATGGACGCGCCAATTTTCAAATTGATACTCATTCCATATACGTATGTACGGGTTTCGTAGTTTTACACCCATGTAAAATGTAAAAAAAATTAAGAAACATAATGTGATAATAAAAATATTCTAAAGGTATGAAACAATGATTGATTTCATATATTTTTTTTTGTTTTTGTAAATACGCAAATCAAAAAACATATACAATTAAACGTACAGCAATGCGTGGCTGCATCTATACGCAAACTACTCAACTTTTATTGAAAGCTAGTTTAGCGCCATCTATAAATGGTAACTATATGCAAGTGCAGAAAAAAAAAATTTTTTTTTTACATATAAAAATTTAAAAGAAACAAAAACCAAGAGTAAGATTCAGAATTTTTTTTCAAATTTATTAATTTATATATAATTTATTATATATATATATATATATATATATATATATATATATATAAATATGCATATGTATATATATATATAATAATTTATCATATAATTTATAATGGACATACAAGAATAATTATTATATACAAAATAAAATCAATTATATACAAAAAAAAAAAAAAAGAAATAAAAGAAATTTAGCTTGTAATAACAATTATACGCTTGCTTCTAGAATTTTATTATCAGAACATTACACATTGCATAAACTCGTTAAAACTGCATACATATTTTTATAAGGTTTCTTAGAATAAAGAGAAAATTAACTTCAAATGCAGTTTTTATTTGCCCGACGAAGCAATGGAATAAATATCACATTACAGTTCAGCATGAATAAAAGTAAAAAATGATAATATATCTAGTTGGACTATATAAGGAGTCTGCGGATTTTATTAATAAGTAAAATTTTAATTTCCTCCTCTAAGACGAAGGACTAAGTGAAGGGTTGATTCCTTTTGAATATTATAATCTGAAAGAGTACGTCCATCTTCCAATTGTTTACCGGCAAAGATTAATCTCTGCTGATCAGGTGGTATTCCTTCTTTATCTTGAATTTTAGCTTTAACATTTTCAATAGTATCTGACGCCTCGACTTCTAATGTGATGGTTTTTCCTGTAAGAGTTTTGACAAAAATTTGCATACCACCACGAAGCCTAAGTACTAAATGTAGAGTAGATTCTTTTTGAATATTGTAATCGGAAAGAGTACGGCCATCCTCGAGTTGTTTGCCAGCAAAAATTAATCTCTGCTGATCTGGTGGAATTCCTTCCTTGTCCTGAATTTTAGCTTTAACATTTTCAATCGTATCGGATGCCTCTACCTCCAATGTAATAGTTTTGCCTGTAAGTGTCTTGACGAAAATCTGCATACCACCACGAAGTCGGAGTACAAGATGAAGAGTAGACTCCTTTTGAATGTTATAATCGGAAAGAGTACGACCGTCTTCAAGCTGCTTACCAGCAAAGATTAATCTCTGCTGATCCGGTGGGATTCCTTCCTTGTCCTGAATTTTAGCCTTTACGTTCTCAATAGTATCGGATGCTTCAACCTCTAGAGTAATTGTTTTTCCAGTTAAAGTTTTTACAAAGATCTGCATACCACCACGAAGTCGAAGTACAAGATGGAGAGTAGACTCCTTTTGAATGTTATAATCGGAAAGAGTACGACCGTCTTCAAGCTGCTTGCCAGCAAAGATTAATCTCTGCTGATCCGGTGGGATTCCTTCCTTGTCCTGAATTTTAGCCTTTACGTTCTCAATAGTATCGGATGCCTCTACTTCCAATGTAATTGTTTTACCAGTAAGTGTCTTAACAAAAATCTGCATACCACCACGAAGTCGGAGTACAAGATGGAGAGTAGACTCCTTTTGAATATTGTAGTCGGAAAGAGTACGACCATCCTCTAATTGCTTACCAGCAAAGATTAATCTTTGCTGATCTGGTGGAATACCTTCTTTATCTTGAATTTTAGCCTTTACGTTCTCAATAGTATCGGATGCCTCTACTTCCAATGTAATTGTTTTACCAGTAAGTGTCTTAACAAAAATCTGCATACCACCACGAAGTCGGAGTACAAGATGGAGAGTAGACTCCTTTTGAATATTGTAGTCGGAAAGAGTACGACCATCCTCTAATTGCTTACCAGCAAAGATTAATCTTTGCTGATCTGGTGGAATACCTTCTTTATCTTGAATTTTAGCCTTTACGTTCTCAATAGTATCGGATGCCTCTACTTCCAATGTAATTGTTTTACCAGTAAGTGTCTTAACAAAAATCTGCATGCCACCACGAAGTCGGAGTACAAGATGGAGAGTAGACTCCTTTTGAATATTGTAGTCGGAAAGAGTACGACCATCCTCTAGTTGTTTACCAGCAAAAATTAATCTCTGCTGATCTGGTGGAATTCCTTCCTTATCCTGAATTTTAGCCTTTACGTTCTCAATAGTATCAGATGCTTCAACCTCTAGAGTAATTGTTTTTCCTGTAAGTGTCTTGACAAAAATCTGCATACCACCACGAAGTCGGAGTACAAGATGGAGAGTAGACTCCTTTTGAATATTGTAGTCGGAAAGAGTACGACCATCCTCTAGTTGCTTACCAGCAAAGATTAATCTTTGCTGATCTGGTGGAATACCTTCTTTATCTTGAATTTTAGCCTTTACATTCTCAATAGTATCAGATGCCTCGACTTCCAAAGTAATTGTTTTTCCAGTTAAAGTTTTTACAAAGATTTGCATACCACCACGAAGTCGGAGTACAAGATGAAGAGTAGACTCCTTTTGAATATTGTAGTCGGAAAGAGTACGACCATCCTCTAGTTGCTTACCAGCAAAGATTAATCTTTGCTGATCTGGTGGGATTCCTTCCTTGTCCTGAATTTTAGCCTTTACGTTCTCAATAGTATCAGATGCTTCAACCTCTAGAGTAATTGTTTTTCCTGTAAGTGTCTTGACAAAAATCTGCATGCCTCCTCTCAATCGAAGTACCAAATGTAAAGTGGATTCCTTTTGAATGTTATAATCGGACAATGTTCGTCCATCTTCTAATTGCTTGCCAGCAAAGATTAATCTTTGTTGGTCTGGTGGAATTCCCTCTTTATCCTGAATTTTAGCTTTCACATTTTCAATGGTGTCAGAGGCTTCAACTTCAAGGGTTATGGTTTTACCCGTTAGAGTCTTCACAAAGATCTGCATATTTACTAGAAAAAAGAAAAAAAAAAAGAAAAATAAATACTTTATTATTAATAAACTTATAATTAATCTTAACATCAGTTTTTAAGTAACGCATAAAAAAAGAAAAGAAATAAAAATTACATCGAATGAGTAGATAAGATGGCTGACACAGTGACGTGGAAAGTCGTATACCGAGAACAAAGCTAACGAGTGTAATTGCGTCGCTAAAACCGGATCGATATCCGCCATTTTGTTCTTTGTTACTACGCACTTATTCTGTCTAGTCATTACAAGATTTCAAAACGTTTGAGACATAGATAAAAAGTTACATTTAATTTTTCATATACATATATCAAGTATTAGTCAATTGACAAATAATATATTCAATAATCAAGTATAAAAAAAATCTCAACAAAAATTAATATACAACTATGTCGATTAATATGACCTTCGCAAAGAATTGAAATTATTTCACGATCATTAAAGCGTATTAGATATTATTTACTTTCAATATTATAAAAGAATGACATTTAAACGACAAGTCACATACAATAAATAATATCAAATAACATTGAAATATAAATCGATAAAATGTATTGTAATTTCGTAACATTTTTATTGAGTTAAGAAAAGAAAAGAAAAAAAAAAAAGAAAACAAATTAGTAAAAAACAAAAATATGAAAAAAAATACTCACCCAGATGTAAATGTGTATCGTAGTTTTTATAAAAAGTCGCAGATAATTTTTCCAAATATCACTGCAATCGACAACCAAGTATCTCTGATGACCTCAACAGAACTGAACGGAGCTAATGGAAACCGTTCTTTTATATGGCCGTGATGGGATGACGTAGGGGTTGCGTGTGATTGGTCAGGAAATTTCTAGAAAGCAGCTTATTGGATTACAATGTACTTGGTTGCTTGAGAAACCGTTTACGTAGCAACATCGTATTGGAGATTAAACAAAAAAAAAAAAAAAAAAAGAAAAGAAAGAAAGAAAGAAAGAAAAAGAAAAAGGAGAACATCCTTTATGCGGTTAATAGCTTTTCAAATGTATCGCGAATGAATTTATTTAAACTATCTAATATATAAATTTATTCAAATAATATTTCATTACCTTAACTTACTAAAAATTTGATTAATAAACTTTTGATTATTCAATACGCCCGAATATTTTATTCTCTAAAAATCGGAAATAGATGGCGCTGTTAAAATAATAAAAGAAAAACGTCATGCTTTTTCTTTAACAAATCAATAAACGTGACACAGATGTTTGTAATGTCATCATATACCATATATATATATATATATATGTATTAACGTTTAATTCAATATGCATAAAAATAATTATCGAACCAGGTCAACATTAATAAAATCATATTTATATTTTTAGGAAAAGAATAATCTCGTTCATTGTTTGAACAATAAAATCTTTGTTCTTAATTTTGACCAGCTATCTTTTTTCTTATCTTTCTTTTTTTGTTTTTGTTTTGTCTGTTTACACATCATCGTCAAAATTACAAAAAAAAAGAAAAAAAAAAAAGAAAAAAGAAAAGAAATAATATGATTCCGTATTATTTAATTCTACAATAAAATTCATTGTAATCTTTATGAAGAATTATATAAATAGAAATTGCAACTCATTCCAAATAATGTCATTTATCATTTTCCGGCGTTATCGTAAAAGAAATATAAATATTTATAGAAGCATTACTAATATAATAGGCAACATTCTTTAGTATTGAATACTATGAACTTTGCTAAGTCATGCAATATCGTAATAATCATAAAACATGATGCAACATTTCATTTATTGATATTATTTTTTTCTCGTTGCAAATAATTCTTTTTTCATACTGCGTTTTAAAAGAACGATCAATATTTTGACGAAATCTTATTCCATTTAATAGAAAATTTTATATAAAAGATTTATAT